GTGTGTGTGTGTGTGTGTGTGTGTGTGTGTAGGGGTGAGGTGAGTGGGTGACATACAGTCCAGAAATGGAGGGGTGTGTATTCTTCCTCCCGTCCTGAGGAACCCCTTAACTCACCTTATTCAAGTCAACCCCATACTTTAGGCTTAACTCCTCCAGACTCAGCATGTGGTCATCCTGAAGGTGCAGCAGAGAGAGGAAGTAAGGCCAGAGGTCAAATTATTTTTTCAGATAGGGCTAATAAAGGTCCCTGGGAGAACAGTGGATTTTATTATGTTAGATCAGTTCTAGAGGAGGATGTTAAAGGGTCATTGGGATGGTTCTGTCTCAGAGGGGCAATAGTGAAGTCATCAGGAGCTCAGTGAGGGGTGATGGGGTCAGGGGACTAAGGTTTTAGGAGATCAATGACTAAGAGAGGGTGAGGGGATCAAGGATGGGTATGGAGGGGGTCAGGGAGTAAAGAGATAAGGGGATCGAGGATGAGGGTTGGGGATTAGGGAATGAAGGGGGTGAAAGGATTGACTACATCCATCCATCCAGAGGATGCCATTTCATGTTCTGGAGGGTCTTACCATGACCGCTTCCTTCTTGAGCTCTTCCATATTTTTCTTTTCTTTCTTCTCATTTTTCTGCTTCTTCTTTGTTTTTCTATTATGAATTTGGGTAGAGAATTTGGAGGAATATTTCCCATGTGGAATCACTATTCCTTGACTCTTTCTCCCAGACACCATGGTTACCCAAGGTCCCAGGGGGCATAGCTCAGAGAGCAAGAGTGAGTAAAAGAAAAAAAGAGATGATCATAGGAGTGAAATAATGGGGAAGTGAAGTCATTAAGGGATAAAGAAAATAAGGGAAGGGAGGTGATTAGGAAGTGAGGGTTCTGAATGAAACATTAGAGACTTGACAAAAGTGAGTAAAGTGAAGTGACCAGGGAGTAAGAGACTGAGGGTGACTGGGGAGACGAAGGACTGAGGGGGTAAACTGATGGAGGAATTCAGGGAGTAAGAGGATTGGAGACAGGGGTTGAGGGAATCAGGGAATGAGAGGATGAGGACAAAGTGGGGTGATAGGATCAAGGATGAACTGAAGTGAGATCAGCAGTTGATGGATGAGGTTAAGAAGGTCTGAGACTGAGGTGGGTGAAGTAGTCAGGCATTGTGGGATAAAGGGATCAGAGACTTAGTGTGGGGAGGTGAGGAGGGATCAGTGATTGAGAGTGTGAAGAGGTAAAGGTTGTGTTAAAGGATCAAGGCCTGAGGGGGTCTGAGGGGCAGTAGTGAAGTCATCAGGAGCTCAGTGAGGGGTGATGGGGTCAGGGGACTAAGGTTTTAGGAGATCAATGACTAAGAGAGGGTGAGGGGATCAAGGATGGGTATGGAGGGAGTCAGGGAGTGAAGAGATGAGGGGATCGAGGATGAGGATTGGGGATTAGGGAATGAAGGGGGTGAAAGGATTGAGAATGGGGGTTGAAGTGATCAGGGACTGAGGGGGTCAAGGAGTGAGGGGTTGAGGAGATCAACAACTATGGGGTGAGGGAAGCAGGAGCCGAGTGGTGAGGGAAATGACGTATAATGAGAGACGAATGACTGGCTCGAAGAACTAAGCTAAAAGGGGTCATCGTTTGAGAGGGAGAGGGGATCTGAGACCAAGGGAGAGTGGAGACCTGAAGTAGGGAAAAGGGCCTGAGGGAAATAAAGAGTTCAGGAGAGAAGTGAGGGTAGGAGGGGCAGGGGCAGGCAGAGACCTGCTGCTTGCATTTTCGATTTGAATATCGTGGTCAGAACCCTCTTCCTTAGCCATGCTGAGAAGTTAACTGCTCCCAGCTTCTCTCCCACTGAGAGTGCCGCAGCCTGTTGCCGTGGTGATGAACCTGCTCAGCTCAGTCCACTCCAGGCTTCCCCAGTTATCCCTGCCCCTCCCCCCCACTCTGAGAGTGTGAACTCTGTGAGCTGATGCTGATGGGTAATCCCCCTACCTTTGAGGTGGGGGGTTTGGGTGTGCCCTGGGAGCTCCCCTGGAGGAGGCTGGGGTCTCTGGCATCCTTTTGTCTTAGGGACACCCAGAGACAGAGAGACCATCGAGAGTGGGGGAGTGAATGAGTGAAAGAGATTTCTCTCTGTGAGGAAGCAGAGGCTGAAATTATGATACAGGCTGCTGTTCACCTTTCTAGACCTCATTTTCCTCATCTGGAAAATGAGGGGGGCTGGTCCTAGATGACCCCTAAGGTTCCTGCTGGCTCTAAAAGTTCTGTGGTTTGGGGGATAGGGACTACAGCTATGATTTTTATTGATGGAGGGGGAAGGAGAGGGTCCCCCTAGAGAACTCCATCCTGTGTACTAATTTAGGTCAATGCCTTCTTTGCAATTTGTAGTCTTAGAGTTACCTTAGAGAACATTGATAGGTTGACTTGATCAGGGTCGTAGAGCCAGTTTGTGTCAATCTCATGATCTCTCAATGCCCCGCCATGGTTCCTCTTGTGATGAAAACAGGTACTTGTTTTAGGGGTTGGAAGACAGTGTGGTGTAGTGGAAGGACTATATGACTTAGAGTGAGGCTCTAGGTTAGAATCCCAGCCTTGTCTCTTAATACCAGTTGGATCTTTGGAGATATCTCTACCCTCTACATCTTTAGACCTCAGTTTCCTCTTCTCAAAAGTCAAGGGTCAGGTTAGATCCGTGGTATCAAACTCAAATAGAAATGGGGGTCACTAAGCCATACCTAAAGGTCTCTAAGGGCCCTATATTAATGAGTTTTAAAATGTAACCTATTTGATTGTATTTTTATTTATTTTGTTAAATATTTCCCAATTACAAATATTTATCCGGTTCTGTCTACACTCCAGATTGTTGTGGGTCCTGCCCAGTCCTCTGGGCTAGGTGATCTTGACAGTAAGGAGTTAGCTAGCTCATACAGTGTATAGAGTACTGGGCTTGGAGGCAGGAAGACCTGGGTTTAAGTTCAGCCTCAGATACTGCTAATTATGTGACCTTACGCACGAAAAACTCTGTTTGCCTCAGTTTCCTCATCTGTATGGGGAGAATAACTCCTTCCCTTTCCCACAGGAGTGAGGTTCAAATGAGATAATATTTGTAAAGCTCTTGGCACTGAGTAGGTACTATATAAGCACTAGCCGTTATTATTAAGAGGGGCAGCTAGGTGGTGCGGTGGATAGAGCCTGGCCCTGGAGACAGGAGGACCTGAGTTCAAATCTGTCCTCAGATGTTTACTAGTTGTGTGACCCTGGGCAAGTCACTTCACCCTGTTTGCCAAAGTTTCCTCATTTGTAAAATGAGTTGGAGAAGGAAATGGCAAACCACTTCAGTGTCTCTGCCAAGAAAACCCCAAATGGGGTCATGAAGAGTTGGACACGACTGGGACTACAAAATTATTTATTAAATCCCTTCCAGTTCTAAATTTGTGTCCCATGACTAAATTATGAGGTTATGAGACTGGAACTCTGAAGTACTGGGGAAGGAACTCAGATCTGGCTCAAGTCTGTTTCCCTATCTATAAAACGGAGGGGCTGGATTAAGTGAACTTCTAAGGTCCCTCCCCACCCTAAAGCTATCATCCTCTAATTCTATTGTTGCCTGACCACATGAGTGAATAAGTCTGATTGAAATGAACGTCAGGTGATAGGTCTGAGCTGTGTAACTTCTAGGATCATAGATTTGGAGATTAAAAGGACCTTAGGGGTCAAGCCCAAGGGTCTTGTTCCATCCAGTCCAAGCTTCTCATTTTACAGATGAGAAAACTAAACCTCATGGAGGTTGAGTGACCTGCCTGAGATTCCACAGACAGCAGAGCTGAGACATGAACCCATTGCACTGCACTGCCTTCTGTGAGGTCAGGTCCACCTGACCTCATCTTCTGGGGCGTACCTAAGTTTCACCCAGGTAGGAGGTAGAGCCAAGTTTGGAATCCAATTTTTCTTATTTAGATGTAGCGTTTTTGCAGCTATGTCAGAGTTAGCTCAGTAAAAAGCCATCACTACCACTACTGTAAAAAAAGAAAAGAGGAACAAACATCTCTCAAAATGTGTACCCAAATGACAGGGGGTCAGTACATCGTCTTCATTTTACTTCCTCCATACTTCAAGCTATTTCATAAGCGTGGGCACTTCTTCCACCAACAAAAACAGTAAGTCCTTCATGCTTTAGTTAAAAATCTTCTTGAGTTGCCATGACCACAAAAATCCATCACCTAGGAGCCAACCTTCTGGTAATAAGTCTCTTTGAACTTAGCTTGGTCCTAATAAAACAGTTGATGTAGAGCACATTGCTGAACCTGTACCTGAAGCTCTTCTATTTTTTTTTTGTTCAGTTATTTCGGTAGTGCCCGACTCTTTGTGACCCCACTTGGGGTTATTTTGGCAAAGATACTGGAGTAGTTTGCCATTCTCCAGCTAATTTTTGTTGTTGTTCAGTTGTTTCGGTCATGTCTGCCTCGTGACTCCATTTTGGGATTTTCTTGGCAAAGTTTCTGGAGTGGTTTGCCATTTCCTTCTCCAGCTCATTTTACAGATGGGGAAACTGAGGCAAACAGGGTTAAGTGACTTGGCCAAGGTCACATAGCTAGTAAGTGTCTGAGGCCAGATTTGAACTCAGGAAGGCTCATGGAATGAGAAGAGTCTTCTGACTCCAGGCCCAGCTCTCTATCTACTGTGCTACCTACCCACCCTAAGAGGAACAGCAGCACTCCATTGTCATTGTCACCTGTTGCCTTTACCACTCCAATGGTCCAAAGCGATTCTTTCTTCTTGTGAAATCGTGGCTCTTTTCCTCTTGCTTTTCTTTTCTTTCTTTCTTTTTTTTTTTTGGCGAGGCAATGGGGTTAAGTGACTTGACACAGCTAGTAAATGTTAGCCCCTTGCTTTTCTTGTACCTTCACACTTTATTCCAACTATTATTAGACTGTGAATATTTTGAAGATAAAAGTCTTGTCTTGTTCATCTTTATATAGTGTATAGTAAGTGCTCAAAAATGTTTTTTTTTTTAAATTGAATATAAGAAAAACAGCACATACACTTAGAGGTGAGACTGGAAGAAGTATATAATTTCACTAGAGTGTATTCTATCTAAGGTAAGAGAAATAAAGAGAATGAGAATATGTGTCATCAGCATTATCAACAAACTATATGAAATCCTACCATTCATGAATTTAATTTGCACTTGTTTTTTAAAATAAGATTTATTTATTCTTTTGTTTAGATCAACAAAATTTCTTCTAACATCCCTCCTCTCCCCCTCTCAGTGAACCATCTCATATAATAAATAATAATTTTTAAAGACAAAAAAAAAGAAGAGAAAAAAGTCAGCAGAATGAATCAACACATTGAAAAATGGGAAAATATGTGCAGCTTGGTGGCTCAGTGGATAGAGTGCTGAATCTGGAGTCAGGAAGACCTGGAGGCAGGAAATTCAAATCCTGCCTCAGATACTTAATAGCTGAATGACCCTGAGCAAGTCACTTTACCTCTATTTGTCTCAGTCACCTTCTCTGTAAAATGAGAATAATCCCAGGATTGTTGTTAAGATCAATGGAGATCATAATGAGGGATCATAACCTCTAAGTGTCTGGCAAACCTTAAAGTGCTATTATAAATTCTATTATTATATTACAAACTGTACTTTTAGTCTTCCCACCTCTGCAAAAGGATGAGGTGCGGTGAAGTGAGGTGGGGTAGGGGTGTGTGTGGGGGCATCTTCTCATTTCTTTTCTTTGGGACCATGCCCCCTCTGCGATCCCCACTCTTTCACTTATTTTCGTTCTCTCCCTGTCTACTAGCTTATTTCTTACTGCCTACAAACATGCCCATCTCTCCCTCATCTTCAAAATATCTTTATTTGGTTCATCCCACTATTGTCCTGTATCTCTTTTGCCCTTTGTAGCTAACCTCCTCGAAAAGGCCTGCCAAAATAGATGCTTCCACTTTCTCTCCTCTCACTCTTTTCTTAATCCCTTACAACACTTCTTCTGTCCTTATTATTTCAAGGACACTGCTCTCTCCAGAGTTACTCATGATCTCTTGGTTGACAAATCCCATGACCTTTTCTCAGTCCTCACTCTCTTTGACCTCTCGGCAGCCTTTGACACTGTGATCTCTCTCTCCTCCTTGGTACTCTTTTCCCTCTAGGTTGTCAGGATACTACTCTCATCCTGGTTCTCCTCCTACCTATCTGACAATTCCTTCTCTGTCTCCTTTGCTAGATCCTCTTCCAGATCACACCTTCCAACCACAGGTGTTCCTCAAAGTTCTGTCCTGGGCCCTCTTCCCTTCTCCCCCTATATTATTTCACTGATGAGATGACAGGTGATCTCATCAACTCTCACAGATTTAATTACCATCTCTATGCTAAGGATTCTCAAATCTACCTATCTCTGCTGATATCCATTCTTACATCTGCAACTGAAATCTCAAACTGGATGTTCAATAAATATTTTAAACTCAGGATGTTCAAAATAGAACTCATTATTTTTCCCCCAAACCTTCCCCCTACCCATCTCCTACTTTCCCTACTATTGTAGAGGGCAACACTATTTTCCCAGTCCTCCAGTCTCACAATGAAAGGGTTATTTATCATCAACTCCTCATTACTCTCACTCCCTGTATCCAAGCTGTTGCCAAGGCCTGTTGATTTCACGTTATACCTGGATTATTGCAATAGACTGCTAGTGGGTTTAACTGCCTGATGTCCTCCCACTCCAATCCATCCTCTTTTCAGGTACTAAACTGATTTTCCTAAAGTGCAGGTCTGATCATTTTACATGCCCACCTCCACTCCTCACACTCAGTAAAC